TCCCCTCGCGGGCTCCGTATGAAGGAATGCATGGCCTGCCACTCTGCATGCTAACAACGTTAGCACTCAAAGTAGGCCGGTCACAATAACAAATTTTGCTGGACGATAAACTGTCTCAGAAACGATTGTGATAATATTGGTTAAGCTAATTATAACGATAATTTTGTTTGGAGACCATTTTAAATTTATGGAAGTTTATGAAACTTACGTACGTACAAAAATAATTTACGAACGGATCTGGACGGGACATTGCGAAAACACACAACAAGAGCTGCTGAAGCTGTAAAATCGCTACGCACGTCCTCCATCCAAGCCGGCACAATTTATTCTGTACGTCTTCTTCTGGGCCGCTTCTGAAATTTGCGGAAGTTTACAAATTTTACGTAAGGTTAACGGCTGGACCGGGAGCGGAGTCTGTGGCGACACACAGCAGCTACTGAAGGATTAGAAAAGAGGGAGACGTGAAGAAAACACACAAGCAGACTATTAAAAATTGTCCCCCTTGTTTTATCGCGCAATTAAGAGTGTGTATCATGGATGACTCTCAGCTACTACCACACCGAATCGTAGCTAAATATCTTTAAAACAGACTAACAACCCTTTTTGTCTTTGCTARGATTGATTTACTGAGGCAACCATCTTGAATAGGTTCAAATTAGTTACTAAGTTGTAAATCCAACGATTGCTTTCTGAGAGTTTCATTAAAATCTCTGCATTAGTTCAGGAAATATTTAGCAAACACAAATAAACCCACACAGGCACAGATTACACAATCACTCGCCTTCATAGAAGCAGGTCATATAAGTGCTCCTAATCGAGAAAAGAATGTTCCTTGGAATCTGATATATTTGAGAAAGAAAAACTCGAGTATCCTTGAAACACATAAGAACTTTTATTGAACCGTAAGAGAATTATAAAGAGTCCATACGGTGAGATTGGATAAAACTTTTATAAATGAATGCGTGACCAGTAGATAACTCATGGCCATGAACTAATTCTGAGAGATACAGACATTGTTTGAGTCAGATTATGTGTGAATACACCGTTTTTGTTTTAAACTGTTCAAAGTTACCTCATTKATTTATTGGTAATTGTTTATTCCAAAGAATGTACCTCCAATGGTTCAATCCAAAAGATTCATTTTTTTATAGTACTAGTATTTACGAGATGACATTGAATATCCTAAGTGTGTGTCAGGAGTTATTATTTTTTATTTATGTGTTATTGAATGTGGCATAACTCTGTTTCCACAGCAAAGACACGAGGTGAGAGAGGAGCTTGTTTTGAGTGGTAAACTTTAAAAAAATTAAGCTTTTTGGACAAAGACAACTGTAATCATCACCTGTTACTTCATGACTAACAGCAAATGACTGAAGTAGGCAATTCATTCCTATATTAAAATTATGAGATTATTTCATGCATTTAATATCTTGTGGCCACGCATTAATTTATTTTTTAACCAATGCCACAGGAAGAGCTCCTTACATGTACTTTTTAAAAAAGGCCAATATTATGTGCTTCTCGGGCATATACTTAAGTACTATATCATAATAAAGTATCTATGTCACCTTTAGCTGTTATTAAAATGCTGTTTTTATATTTAAATAGAAAATAAACTTATCTTCTCCTCACTTCCTCTTCTAAACGCCTTGAAATTGGCCTCTGTCTCGTTAAAAACCTCCTTCTGCTTCTGTTCCGACTTGTTCGGTGTGGGGAGGGGGGGGCGTCTTACTTGGCATCTTAAAATACATTTCCTCAAAGGTGTTTTTAATCTGAAAAGAGCTTCACTGAGTGAGAACTAATGTTGAGAGCTCAGCAGACAGTTAGGTTTCACTTTCACTTTCACCCGAGAGCCTGCAGGAGTCGTGGGCGGGGTGTGCGTGGAAGTGGGGACAGGGTGTGCTCTGCCATGAGGAGGTTCGGCTTAAAGACACGTCCCAGAGGCGTTCCTGGTACCAAACGGCGTTCCTGGTCCCCCACCTGTCGTTTTGCTCCTCAGCATGGCTTCCTAAAAACGCTGCAGGATTTCTCAAACATGCATGAATGAGTCAAAGCAAGGCTTTGGGCATGTTTTTATGAGAGTATAACATTATAACATGATATTAAACTCAAAAAAGTTGATTTTACATGATATTGCCCCTTTAAACATCAAGTTTGTAGAAGCCAGAATTTGTAAATTTCCAACAGGTTCCGATTTTCTTGAAAATCAATAGTGAAAAGTTCCATCTAGTTTCTTCCTTTCAGGGTCATGGGGGTCACTGGGTGCCCATATCCAGCAGTCACAGTGCGTGGGGCAGGGTAGTGAAAAGTTTGAATTCTAAAAAAATCACATTTTAGATCATTTTCCCTACAATAAAAAAATATGTTAGATCACTCCTGGATCTTAAGTTGAGAACAAACTGTTCTTGTCCTACGATAGAAACGAATGCAATGGTTTTGGTTCGTTTGGTTTCACTTCCTTGTTTTCGGTTTTCTTCTTAGTCATGTCTTTCCCCCTTTCGGTTTCACTCACATTTTATTCAAATTATAGACGCTTTTAGATTTGTTTATTGTTTTTTGCAGCGAAAGTTAAACCACTCATTCAGAGACCGTCGTACCACGTGATACCCATCGTATACGAGCCTCATGACTTCTACAACCATCACTTCTGACTGTGACTTTAGAATTTCACTTGTGTAACGTATTTTAGTCGACAAAAACAATCGGATCAAAGACACAAGAACCAGASGTTAATGTAACATCACGTATCTCCGTCACGGCTGACTGAAGAGTTGGCGTGTGGAGAAAAATAAAAGCTGAATGGTGAGTTTGAAAAAGTTTGTCACTCATCTTTGCTCACTTCCTCTTGTCTTTTCAAGCATGTCGCTCACAAACTGCTCTCTGGGGAGGTTGTTTTGCTTTATTGTTTAAATATATATTGTTTTTTTATGCCAGCTGTCAGACAGTTTGAGCCAAACAGGCTGTCTCTCCATGAGGAATGTGGGTACTTCCTTTCAGCATTGTTTACTCAAACTGCTGGAATGCACAAGGGCCTAGATCAGGGGTGGGCAATCCTGGTCCTCGAGGGCCGCAGCCCTACAGGTTTTATGTTTTTCCCTGCTCCAACACACCTGATTCAGACGTTGAATTACCTCGTCCAAGTTCTGC